TTTCATTTTTTCCTTTAGCAACGCTACTAACACTATAACCTTTTATTTATTTTTGTTTTTATTTTTTTTGAGACAGAGTCTTGTTCTGTCACCAGCCTAGAATGTAGTGGCACAATCTTGGCTCACTGCAACCTCCAATTCAAGCAATTCTCAGCCTCCCAAGTAGCAGGCACTACAGGTGCCCACCACCATGCCCAGTTAGTTTTTGCATCTTTAGTAGAGATGTGGTTTCACTATGTTGGCCAGGATGGTCTCAATCTCTTCACCTCATGATCTGCCCGCCTTGGCCTCCCAAAGTGCTGGGATTACAGGCATAAGCCACTGTGCCCGGCCCCAAAACAATCTTTTATTTAATCCGTACAATCTCCCTATGAAATGAGTAGGGCAAATTTTATTATCCCTATTTGGTAGATGAGGAAAGCCAAGGCTCAGAAAGGTTAAATAGTTTGTCCATAGCCATCACCTGTTAGTTGGGGGAACCAACACTCAAATTCAGATCATCTGTCTTCAGAATGCTTGCTCTTTCCATTAAAACACTCTGGCCTTTTATGTGAAATTCAGTTAGCCGGGACCACATCTTGGGTACCATGATATGGTTCATGATTGCAGTTTCTGCCACCTGAAGCCCTCAGTGTTCCTCAGGCTGCCATCAGTCTGGCCTACTTGCTAATCTCGCCTCTGGTCACTCCAAACATGCTTAGCTGCAGCAATATGGAACGTGATGCATTGTGCTGAACCACGCCTTCATGCTTTCACGCATCATACTATTTGCTCAGCCTGGAACACCCTTTCCCTACGTTTTTGTCTGATTAAATTCTACAGGCCCTTTGAAACTGAGCTCTTGCTGACTTTTTTCAGCATGCCGTCTCTCACCTTTACAGTCTTCGGTGCTCTCGTAGCAAGCACCCTGTGCATTCTTCCGTCTTGGTACTTAACACACTGTCCTGTCATTGTCCATGTACATGACTGTTTCCTCTGTCTCCCAGACTGGAAGTAGGAAAGCAAAGATTCTCTTTCCTTCATTCAGTTAGCATTGCCAAAACCTAGCCAAGTACTGGTTCATGATAGGTTCTTAGCTTAATAAGTTTTTGTGACATGAATAAGTGAGTTTTGTGGCCTAATAACAGTGCTTTTATCTTCTAGGTACATGGTTCAGTGGCCTGGTGGCCGAATCCTGCATCGCCATGAGCTAGACACCTTCCTCGCACAGGCAGTGTCTACCCAGCTTTATGAACCAGATCAGCTCCAAGAACTCAAGGTGATTTCTTGTACCCTCATTTAAGTTCTTCCTTTTATGAGCCTATGGCACTACTTTAGGTCTTTTTTTTTTTTCTTGGAGCTGAGGAGTAAGTTCTGCAGGTAACTGTTTGATTTACTTTAGCCAGATATTTGTGTCTATTAATAAAGCCAAGAGGTGCCTGCTACACTGCTCTCATACTGATAAATGAGAATGGACAGAAAAGATGGGTATTATGCAACGAAAATAAATCATGGCCCATAGACCATGGCAAGGTTTCTGGCTTTTACAAGATACACTATAGGAGATTTATCCTGATGTCCCCTGCTTGTGTCTGAGCAAATGTCCACCCCTCCTTTTAGTGATGTGTCTTGGGTATTAAGTAGAAGTACAGAAAAGCATTAGGAAGGAAGTAAACCCAGCCACTGAGGGCAGTCGAGCATGGAGTATAGAGGTGAGGCTCTGAAGCCAGGCTGCCTTGGGTTTGAATCCTGGCTTCAGTACCTCCTAGCTGTGTGACCTTGGGCAGGTTACTTAACCTCTCTAGCTTCAGTTTCCTTACTTGTAGATTGTATATTAGTCCATTTTGTATTGCTATAAAAGAATGCTTGAGACTAGATTATTTATAAAGAAAAGCGGTTTATTGAGCCCGTTGTTCTGAAGTCAGTACAAAAAACGGCGCCAGCATCTACTCAGCTTCTGATCAGGGCCTCAGGAAGCTTTTACTCATGGTAGAAGGTGAGGGGAATAAGACAAGAGGAGCCAGCGTGTCACCTGGAGAGAGAGGTCACATAAGAGAGAAGGGCAAGGTGCTAGACTCTTTCTTTTC